CAATATTCATTATGGATTTGTTTTTGATTTAATCAGAAGATTAGAAATGAATACAATATACAGGTGTTTTTTTTTTTTTTCATTAACTGTTTGAACTGAAAACAGAACAGAAGTACTTTCACAAATTTTCATGATCTGAAACTTCTGTGACGGGACCTTAACATACAATACGAAGGATGTCCACAAGGGGCTTGATTCAGAAAACAAACGGAAAAAAACCCATCAGAAATAAGACTAAACTTATATACGTTTTTCATGGATCTGCTGGTATAATTGGTAAAAAAAATAATCATTAGTGTTTCTGATTGGTTTTAAACTTTTGTTTGATTATGCACATACAGTACATAATATATTTTGCCATATGTACATTTATATAAGCATATATTTTGAAGATTTTAACAATGGTTTTCTCACCTTTATTTTTTATGATATAACTAAATGTTGTGAAGGGGTTTACTATCACCAAAGGATTTTTTTTCTTTCTTTCATAGTTAATACACTGTATTGAAGAATGTACTTATTATTTTGCTCACAACTTGTTTCTGGTGGGTCTGTTATGTTCTATTAGCATGAATATAGCATGTTTTCTTTATCAACATTTTTTGCGATGGGCATTAATACACTGCCTGGCCCCCCAAAAAGTTGCCAACAAAAAAAAAGGGTTGCACACTAATATTTTGTTGGACCACCTTTAGCTTTGATTACAGCATGCATTCGCTGTGGCATTGTTTCGATAAGCTTCTGCAATGTCACAAGATCTATTTCCATCTAGAGTTGCATTAATTTTTCACCAAGATCCTACATTGATGATTAGGCACTGGGCATGATGGGTGCATCACTTCACCTGCCTCTCTTCTTACCCTGATGTGCCCATCACTTTGGAACAGAGTAAATCTGGACTCATCAGACCACATGACCTTCTTCCATTGCTTCAGAGTCCAATCTTTATGCTCCCTAGCAAATTGAAGCTTTTTTCCTGTTAGCCTCACTGATTAGTGGTTTTCTTAAGGCTACACAGCTGTTCCAATCCCTTGAGTTCCCTTTGCATTGTGCGTGTGGAAATGCTCTTACTTTCACTATTAAACATAGCCCTGAGTGCTACTGTTGTTTTTCTTCCATTTGATTTCACCAAACATTTAAGTGATCGCCGATCACGATCATTCAGGATTTTTTTCCGGCCACATTTCTTCCTCCAAGACGATGGGTCCCCACTATCCTTCGTTTTTAATAATGCGTTGGACAGTTCTTAACCCAATTTTAGTAGTTTCTTCAATCTCCTTAGATGTTTTCTCTACTTGATGCCATTGATTTGACCCTTCTCAAACAGACTGACATCTTTTCCATGACCATGCAATGTGTCTTTCAACATGGTTGTTTAAGAAATGAGAAGCAACTCATTGCACCAGTTGGGGTTAAATAACTTATCAGCTGAAAGATAATCACCCATGCAGTAATTATCCAATAGGAGGCTCATATCTATCCAGGCGGTGACTTTTTTTTGGCCAGGCAGTGTAATTTCCAAGGAACTTCACCCCAGCTTTCTACCATCTCTGAAATTTGAAACAATGAGAAAATTGGGCACACTTGGACTTTTTGAAATAGCTTAGAACTCTATTGCCTGCTTTCTAATTATTACTCTATTGTCTTATTGCTTTGGAAATGAAACTCAAATGTAATTTTTTTTTTACCAGTCATATGATGTTGTTAAATTACACAGTGGTACAACCCCCACCTCACACCTTGATTATTTTATAGCTGATTATATTGACTTGCGTAAAAGTGGAATTTTAAATTCCAGAGCTACACGTGTTTATCAGCACTCACCAAGCTCCAGGCAACCCCTTTGACTGTTAAAGCTGGCATAGCTGAAACAATTGTTTGTGTCAGATATATTTTGTATTTACCATATTATGCTGAATTTATAATGCTGTGTTACTGAATAACATGTACAATTTAGGGCAAGGCAGCCTATCCACAAAGTCTTTTTTCATTTTGAAACAACTGCTGATTACTATTATATTTGCTGGCTAAATAAGAGTTCTAGCTCAGGCCTGCAGCAGAAAGGTTTGCTCTTGCAGTACCATGATCTATCTGCATGACAGAAACTACCCATCCATAGCTACAGGCTGCAGGCAGACCCATTGTGTGGACTGAGCACTGTGACTGCTCCCTCTTGTACTGCTGTAATGGGATTACATTAGCCAGGTTCTTTTGCTCCCTCTCCATCCCTCTCATCTCTCTCCTCCTCTGTCCCTCTCTCTCGCTTTCTCTCTCTCTCTCTCTGTCTCTCTCTCACACACACACACACACACACACATATGCACCCCCCCCCCCCCCCCCACACACACACACACACACACACCTGCAAACACACTTGTCTGTGTTTAATTGCCCGTGGGAACTCACCATTGACACAATGTATTCCCTGCCTCCTTAGTCCAACATTAACCATCACAGCTGAGTTCTTAGCCCCTAACACTTTTACTCGCAACCCTACCATAAACTGTACCATACCTATAGGCACTGTAATTTGGTCCTCACGCTTTCTTAAAATGCTCTTAACCTGGAGTCCCATCAAGTTTGTGACTCCACCATATTTTAACAAAAACACACAGAAACAGTCATTGCCACATTGCCAACTGATTTATGTACATGAATAGCCTATGCAGAAATGCAGGTCTCGTATCCATTCGTTTATGTTTTTAACAACAACTAATGTAATTTTTAAATGTTCTGTCCATCCATCCATTATCTTTTACTCGCTTCTTCCTTTCTGGTCACAGGGGTCACTGTGCAAGTGGCAAGGTACACCCTGGTCAGGTCACAAGTCCATCACAGAGACAGATAGAGGCAAATGAGACAAACAACCATTCACTCTCTCACTCTCACCTAGAGACAATTTACAGTAGAGTTACCAATCAGCCTAACATGCATGTTTTTGGTCTGTGGGAGGAAACCGGAGTACTCGAAGAAAACCCACGCATGCTCGGAGAGAACATGCAAACTCCACCCAGAAAAGGCCCTCAGCCGGGATTTGATCTGGCGACCTTCTCGCTGAGAGGCAGCAGCTCTACCAACTGTGCCACTGTGCTGCCTTGTATAAATGTTTTTCATATACTGTATACCTGTAAATATTTTCCCATTCTTACTGCTAAAATATATTTCATAGAAATAAATGCCTTTTTTCCCCAACAGGTTTTGTCAGTGTGTGAGTGTTGGAAGGAAGGGATACACAAACGATATAAGAGTTTTGTTTAAACATATTTTAAGGAGAGCCTGTCACATGTAAAACATTTCTTCACAACCAGTACTTGTACTTTTGTTGCATCAGTCCCAAGCTACTTGTTGAAAACCAATTTAACGTTTAAACGTTGGGCCACTTTTCGTTCAAGGGCAAAGATTGATATTCAGAAGAAGCTGTGAAGACGGCAACAAAGAAGAATATTTAGAATTTATGCAAATAATCTCAAACATTAGAAGCTACATATCAATTGTGTTTTTTTCATGTTCTGTGCATTTTTCATCATCCACACAATCTGTAACTGCTGCAAATAAGTGAAGAACCAATGTATTTTCTTACACAAATGATTTACCGTGACTGCCTTTCAAGTCCTACACAGCTTTGAAATGAATGGTTCTAGCTTTATGTAGTTTTTAATGCTTTCTGTGGCCATTAAAAATCATCAGTTTGTTGGTGTTAGTTACATACTAAATGATACGGGATTGATTAAAAGGGTCACGCCACCAGCCTACCAAACCATTTGAATCTGGAGTTAGCCACCATAAAATTGAAACGGGGATCAATGGGGTGTCATATGCTTGCTGCTCTGTGGGCTGAACATGTACAAGTAATTCTAACCTTGATGCTGAGGCTATCTCTCATGTCAGGCCCTCCACCCTCAGGCTCAATAACCCAACCGCCCATGGTTACTGTTTGTTGCAATCCACCCTATTGTATTAGCAAGGAGGATAAAACATAAACCTTTGTTTTGAGCTAATTTAACTCCTTTTAAAGGTTTCTTCTACATTTGCTACATGTATAACACAATTTTTCAAGCATTTAGCATCGTCAGCAAGACAGTTTTTTAAAATCTAATCATCATTAAATTTTTACAGAAAATTGTGATGTTTTCTAAACAACTCACCTAAGGATATACCAGTTCAGGATGTACAAGTTCAATTTCAAAGATTGGTGCATGGTCATGATCATTTTCTTTTTGGTTAATCACAGTTAAGGTAGTTGAGAACACATCAAGTCATGATTTCTGTTGTTGTACGACAACACACAGGGGAGTTAAGTAAATGGCCATTTATCATACTGCAACTGCACCTATTTGTTACTATATCTAAAATAATATTTACACTGCACATATTTTCCCACATTAATAAAAAGTAACCAATATTACTGAATAAGTAAGAGGGCCTCTTGCAGGGAGGCAGCATCAAAGCAATATAGCAAAACAAGTGACGGTCCCGTTCTATAGTCAGAGTCATTACAAAATATAATTCAGTGTCCCATTTCAATATGGAATGTAACTACATTTTGGTTCAATAACCAGGCTATAGTATACGTTTTGGTCAAGGTTTTATTTTATATTTTTTTCATTTGAAGCATCAGTGTTTTACATTTGCATGCTTCTTAAAATATATTGAAAAAAATGTTAACTTGTGTACTATTAGTAAGTTGTTTGCAGTTGTGTGATGCAAATACTGTATATCCTAATCTCAACTGAAACTTGACATCAACGAATACATCATTCTAAACTGAAGTGATCAGAATAAGGGACAAATAAATGTTATTTCAAGGTCAAATATCTTTATTGTCATTCACATTACATGTGGTACATGAGGTGGAACAAAATTGTGTATTCAAAGTCCCAGGTACTGTACATCCAAAAATGGCAAAAATATAAAGTATAAAAAGAAGCAGTATATAAGGATCTAAGATATAAGATATTGGTATACTACTTATGCTCAGTTGTTCTAAAGAATAAACAAATATGTCAAGTAAATGCTTGGAAATAGTTCAGTACCTAATGATTTTTTTTAATAGACTTTCTAAAATATGAGGAATTCTGAGGAAATGATGGTGGTACAGTATTGTGATGTTTCCAGGCTGACCATGTTAACATACACTGATTGACTTTGTCTGCAGGGAACTTGGGCCATGTTGACTACATCAATGAATTTGAGTTTGACCTTTTCATCCGACCCGACACCTGCAACCCACGCTTCAGAGTCTGGTTCAACTTCACTGTGGAGAACGTTCGGGAGACACAGGTCAGGACTGTTTGATATTGTTTGTTCGGTATGGATTACATCAAAAACACTGGCTGTGTCCTGCTGATTGTGAATGACTTGTTCGTTTATTCACAACTTTCTCTCACATATAGTGTTATAGCGTTAATACGTATAAAAAATTAATCTTTTTGTTCTTTTCATTAATTAGTAGAACCATATCACTGCAGTTTTTACACCAAGCTATACTGGGTGGATACATTATTAAGTAAAACTTGTACATCCATACATACATATATATACATATATAGTTACCACTTTACAATAAGGCTTCCTTTATAGATGGGTAATAAATACTTCATAGATGTTAATAATTCCTCTATAAACACTTTATAAATCATTAATAACTGCTTATTAGGCATTAAGGGTGAAAAGGAGACCCAAACTGACCAGTTTCTTGCTAAATAAAGAGCACAATCTGCCATCTATATATTTCATCTAGAGTTGTTACTGTATATTAAACATTTTAGACTAAGTTACTACCTTGTAATCACAATAAACATTTGTAAACCTATTTCTTTAGCATATAATATTGTACTTTATCACTACATTATAAGTATCTACAACTAATATTATATCCTAAAAAAATAGGTTTACAAATGCTGCTTACAAGATAGTAACTTAGTCTGAAATGTTTAATGTAACAACTCTAGGTGAAATATAGGTGGCAGATTTGGCTCACTAATTGGCAAGAAACTGGTCAGTTTTGTCTCTTTCTCGCCCTTAATTAATGCACAATAAGCAGTTATTAATGATTTCTAAAGTGTTTATAGAGGAATTAATAACAAATCTATAAACTATTTATTAGCCATCTACAAGGGGAGCCTGGGGAGCCTTATTGTAAAGTTCTCTCTCTCTCTCTCCATTTATTTATATATATATATATATATATGCTTATAATGATATACTGTGATACTGTGATATACATGTGATTGGCTGGTAAATGTAGTCTCATGCCTCAGTGATACACTGTGTGTTTTCCAATATTTGAACTTAATGATGCAGGACAAAGAGAGATTTAAATATTGTTGTTTAAGTACTTGGCTATTGCTGCTCATTTTTTTTGTATTAGAACAACACTTGGTAGGTTTAGAAAAATGATAGGAATATCTTTCTCTTTTTAATTTCACTAAGTGTCCACATATACAAGAATGTATTGTTCGATTAAGAGATTAAACACAAACTGTCCATCCATCCATCCATCCATCCATCCATCCATCCATCCATCCA